TGAAAAGCGTTTACAAAATATATATTAAAATCATTTTTCCGGCAAAAGAGTCAAGAGATTTATTTAATACCCAAAACCAAAGCACAGTTTATACAGTTTATACGCTACACCTGTAATAACAATATCCATAGGACTTGACTTTTTGATGTGTGAGTGTATGTGTTGGACGACTACCTGTGCCAAAGACCCTGCCATAGGTGTAGCCCTGGTTTCATATATTATTTACCGGTGTGTATAGTGTATGGGTTTTTGCGAAGGCTTATGGATTAGTGAACTTGTCGTACAGTTGATTGTAAAGGGGTTTTGAATTTTGTAAAGTTTTTATCGTTTTGTTTTTTGCTGTGATTTTTTTCTAACAAAAATATTTGTTTTGAATAATTTTTGAGATATTTTTAAACCCAATGTTTGCGTTTTGAATGCATTAATGTATAAATGTAAAACAAAAACAATATTAACTACATAATCAACTGTTGTGCTTTTATATATTTTTAAATACAAATATACTATCTATATAATATATACCAGTTTAATTTCATGTGTGTTATTTTGCACGCATTTTCATGACTGTTGTTTCAATGAGATTTTTGTTGTCTGTATTTTTTTACCCTATCTATACATAAATTAATTGATTGTTTGTGTAGTTTACTATACGTACAGTATAACCGGGTATATGTACACATATAAACAATAACCATCATAAATAATTCGCTGAATAATTACCCATATTTGCAACCAACATGGTTTATTACGGGCGATAAATTATTACTGTAAAATACATCTCAAATATTTGCTGTGTTTTCATATAATATTTTAAATGTTAATGTGATTTAACGGCACTTTATATACCCTTTTAAATACTCACAGATTTATATAATAGACATTATTTTTACCATACCGTGTTTCGCCAATTGATTGCATGTTTTAATTCATGTGTGACTTGAATTAGTATTATTTACCATCATTTTTGTGCCATATCTATAGTGTTATGTCAGCGAAAAATATAAGTTTTATTATTATGTTTAAAATATGGTAATTTTTGTTGTTTGATAATCGAGTGGTTAATATGGTGTGAAACCCCATTTACCGGCCCCTCCACCCCCACTCCCATTCAACAAATCCCTGCAAGGTATTAAATATTTACCATTATTATTGCTATTATATTTGTTATTTTTATGCATTTTAATTGTCAATGAATATGTAGTTTTGAAACGCTTTTTGTTATTATTTAATTAATTGAATGAATAGTTTTTGTATATTATTTTTTCTTACCATAATTTGTTTTATTATATGCGAGACTAATTTAACATGTTATTTGAAAATATTATCATGATTTCATTTTGGGTAGAATAGGGTATATTTGCTCCAAATTCGTGTGTATTATGTACTGACTTGTATAGTGAACTCATTTTTGTGAATACATGGTAGAAAAAATTCAATCCCTATTGTATACTAACGCACGCTATAATAGTATTTGAATTATTATTATTATACCTATTTACAAAATATTTATTTTTGAATAACAAACATGCTTTTTGTTGAGTTGTTATTATTATTTATTGAGACAAACCCTAGCCTTAAATGAATGATTAGTTTACATATATTTTTTCGGTAAAATTCTTATCGTAAACGCAATGGTTTTTTTTAATGTATACATGGTATAAATACTGTACAATTGGATTTACATTATGGTTAATTTTTATCATTTAAATTTTTATATGTATGTAAATTTAATTCACTTTTTGTGTGTATTTTATTATTTAATTACGAGTGAGAAAAACAAATATAAAATTTATTGCAATATTTTATTGCAAAACATTAAACATAATAAATGTGTTATTTTTATTGTAATTTTAAATTTTATGTTTGTTTCGCCGTTTGCTGTGAATATTCACAAGAATTTCAATGCAAAAAATGTCGTTTACTATAAATGGTAGACAAGTGTAACACAATTACAGAGAGAGAGAGAGAGAGAGAGAGAGAGAGAGAGATTCAAATTTTTATTTTTCATTTGATTTTAATTTTTATTTCCCTTTCAATCCATTGCGAGAGAGAGAGAGAGAGAGAGAGAGCACAGGTATATACAGATATGGAAATGCCGTGTAATATAAATTCAACACAAATAAAATCAAACTTTTTTGTCTCTCTCTCTCTCTCTCTCTCTCTCTCTCTCTCTCTCTCCACGCAATTCCTCCACTTTTATGACCGACTTTCTCCACTCACAACACACACCAGACATACATACCTTTTTCCCTCTTATGTTATGCTTATTAATTACATTTACGGTTATATTATGTATAAAATTATGGGCATAAGTGCCGGGGGTTTGCACCACAACCACTGCCTGTGCCTATCATAGTCGCCATATCTCTTCCCCTCTTATAGAGACAAATCGTGAAATCACTTGCAATTGATTCAATTGATCAAAAAGGGTAATTATATTGACCACGATGTTTGCCATATCAACTACCCACCTATGTTACCGGCGGTGGAGGGGTTCATAAGGGGTAATGTAAAGTACTGGTGGCCCCCCCCCCCTATAGATAAGTTTAAGGCAAATAGTTTTACTTGTATTTTAAGGGGTATATTATATGTCAGCTGTTATTTATTTAGCATTTGTTTTAATGAGAAAATTAACAGAATTTTCTTAAATATGCACTTAATTTACGCCAAGTATTTGTTAATTGTGTTAATTATTTGATGATTTTTCTCTCGTACACTATAGAGAGATAAATTGTATATTCAAGTGATTTGTACACTAATATACTGACTGAAAGTACTATTGTTTTCTAGATTTGGGAAATTAATTGCTTTTTTATATATTATAAAACATTTTTCATGTGTTTTATGTTTAGTTTTTCTAAAAAACATTAACAAAATTATGGATATATTTTATGTTTTGCTGTCATTTCTAATAATAGTTATTATATTATTGTTATTATTAATATATAAATATTTTATTCACATTTTATTAGAGCTTTTTATATCATTTTAAATGTCATGACTTTTCATTGTTTTTGTGTAATACAAATATAATGGTATTTATTTGTCTTATAAAATCACATTCTCTACCATCGGGAAAGTTTTTTTTTTTGCTAATTATATACATTAATATAATAAAAACTTGTGATAGAGTGGTCACATGTTTAATTTTAATACACTAGGACAAAGGGTTATAATAAAATAGCATGTGCAGTATTTTTAAACCACTTAATACACAATACATGGGATAACCAATTGATATGTTAATGAAAATCACTGCCTAAACAGATTAAGCATGTGTTGTTGTAATTGTATTTAAATTTTATTATTTTTCAATGATTTTAGTCATGAAATTGTGTGATAAGAATCTGCGAAGAAAAATAATAACTATTTCTTAAATAAAAAACATTTATTAAGGTATTAATTGTTCGTTGGGTTAATACATAAAATAATTACATTAATGTAATAAACGTTTGCATAATAATAATAATCAATGTCTTTATAAGGCACAGGAATTTTTGCCTATAATTTTACCATTATTTATATGTCAATCAGTTTTAGTTAATTATACATTTGACTAAAATTTTGATATACACCCGCTATTAGAATGATAAATGTTTTGCTAGATTACAGTATAATATATAGCATATTATGCTAGTTATTTATTCTTGTATATTAGACAACATTTTTGTCTAGTTGTTTTTTGTTAATTGTTATTTAATTTACTACATCATACACTGGAGTAGATCATAAAATTGTTATACAAATAATCAATATTTTGCTTTAAATGTCAATCAAATGTACAGCTGTTGACATAAGTAGTAGTAAAATAAATAAATATTTATGTCAATTAGCTGTCATTCAGTATACACTGTAATATCCGATACCTCTCTTACGACATATCCATTACATAACAACTGAAACAAAAATAATTAAAAATTAATTAACAAAAAGCACACATAGATTAAAGAAAGGCTTAATTAAAATAAAATAAATAATTAAAAAGTTATATTAATTATTTTTACCATCATATATTTTCCAGATATCAACACCATTGCCATAATCACCAAAACAAGCACATCAAATAAATAAATAATTAAATAACCAACAGGGTTAAACAACAAATCGCAACGAAAATCACTCGTTGAAATTATACTAATCACACAAACACTCACAAAACCAACCATAATGTCTACAAAATCCATACCCAACAGCACCACAACGAGCACAAAACCGGGCCTCAAGCATACCGGGCTGACCTCTAACCTACCACGATCGCAGGCCAGTTCCAGCACATCCCTACACTCATCGGCCAGCGAAGCCCAATCGGGGTCGACTGTCCGCACGAACCCAACCCTACGGCGATCGCAATCATCCAATGAAATACTCACCGAGAATATCGACGATTTCGCCCTGGGTGATAAGGTGTGGGTGAACGGGCAGCGACCGGGGCGCATACGTTACCTGGGCGACACGCAGTTCGCGCCGGGAAAGTGGGCCGGCATCGAGTTGGAGGCCGATGAGGGTAAAAATGACGGCTCGGTGGCCGGTGTCCGGTATTTTGAGTGCAAAAATAAGTCGGGAGTGTTTGTGCGGCCCCAACGCCTCACCCGACAGCGTATCGAAGACCCGCCCAAGTCGTCCAACAAGTCTCCGACCAGCACCGGGTCTACGCCGGTGGTCACCCCTACCAACGGGAACGGCGACAAAACCATTTTGAACACTAGTGTGAGCAGCAATAAGACTAACGGCTCGGGTAACGGGTCGTCGACCAACGGCTCCGGGTCGGGATCGGGCAGTCAGTACAGCACCGGCCGATACGATCACCGGTTCAATGTGGGCGATCGGGTGCTGGTGAACGCCAGCACCGGCACCAAGTTGGGTACGTTGCGATTTTTGGGCCAAGCTGATTTTGCGCCGGGCCGGTGGGCTGGCGTAGAGCTGGACGAACCGATGGGCAAGAATGACGGCTCGGTGGCGGGCAAACGGTATTTCAAGTGCCCGGACCGGTACGGACTGTTCGCCCCGTTGAACAAGATAGGGGCCGCACCGTTGGGCGCGTTGAAACCGTCCTTGGTGAAGAAACCGCCCGGTACGCCGGCTAAGAGGCCCGGCACAGGGCTGTCCCGGCAAAGGTCTGGTGGTAGTCAAGAGTCGCTCAACTCTATCGCCTCGTCCACCGCCAGCTCTACTCGGCCGAGGGTTAGACTCGGTGTGACTTCCCTGTCGTCCAGCCATAAGGGTATGTATTATGGGTTAAGGGATGTGAACGGAGAGTGAGTGAGAGAGACAGAGAGAGATAGTTTAAATTGATGAATTTAAATGTATATAGACTGTAATTATAAAACATTTAATTAGATTATATACAGAGATAGATGTTTTAAAACTATATTTTGGCCTCCACCGGAAAATCTGAAATAAATAATTATATTTTTTATTAAAATAGAATGTTTTTGCAGAGAGAGAGAGAGAGTCAGAGAGAGAGAGAGAGAGAGAAAGAGAGAGAGAGAGAGAGAGAGA